TGGGCTCAATGCGCCTGCGTGTGATGTACCCAGTCTGTGATGTCCAAGACCTCCTCGAGAAAACAATTGCAAGCCGCTGCAATAGGTCGGCGACATACACATACACATGGTATGTGCATGTCCAAATGTTTGTGCATGTACATGCACCTAGACACATGTGTTTATGTGTTTATGTGTGTGTGTGTGCGTGTGTGTGTGTCTGCTGGATACATGTATTCTAATCCAACGAGTGTATGGTGCTCCCTACAAATCTCTTAATCATGGAGCTATGGATTTGGTGCTAGCACCTTTGAATGCAAGCTAAGGTCGGTTATGATGGATGGAGAGCTGTACTTGCACTACTGCACTCACAGAGTGCACTAATAAGAAAACCTGGCATATGTAATCCTGTTTGTGGCCAGCCGTGTACACGCATGACGATGGATGACATATGTACACATATACATGCATACACACATGCTGTATTGCACTTTATTTGCAGTCCCTCACTTGTTTGCTTGTCTCCCTGCTGTGTGCGTGTGCCTTTGCATCTATTTGCACAGGACAGAGCACTTTAAAGTTCACTACACCATAGCATTCATTCCTTCCTGCCTGGGTGTTATTGGCATGCAACAATGCACCTAATACCAGCGGCAGTGACGGCGGTGGGGCTGGGAGGTACCAGATGGTGCCATTTGCACAGCAATCACATAGTGCTAAACGCAGTGACGTTTCTTATTGGTGCTGCAAATTGTCCACGTTCACATAACTTCTGGGCAGCAAGAGGGGAAAAGCAGTACAATTCCGGACCCTGGTCCGGAAGAGTACAGCATGGTATAAAGTTCACATGGCTGCAAATTCAAATCTGGGAAGTTGTTTCGTGGCTACCGAACTTTGTTGATTGCATCATTTAAATCCTGGCCAGAACCTGCCATAGAATAGGATGCTCTTTTGTCATGGCGGGACCAAATGCTTGCTTGCGTAGAAGCATTAGAAGCTCGACGATTGATACAAACGTGAATGTTCTGGTACTCCTACACATTGTGATCATTCTTACTGGTCACATTAGCCAGTTTGCCATGTCATTGAATGCGCTGGAGGTGGCATCCAAACCACGAAAGATCATTTACAGACCGGATGTTGCTCCGGACTCCTCCCAGCCTTTTAACTGCACCAACTGTGCCAACTGGTTTGGTAGTCGGTCACATGCATATCGGCACCAGTGCAAAGACAGGGGGTGGAGTATGGCCGCCGCCGCGCCTGCGGTTAAGACTAATGCACCTCCCACATGTTTTAGCTAGTTACATCAACAATGCTGTGCCTGTGGGACGGTGCGAGCTGGTGACTTAACTTGTCATGCTTGAACACAGCAGGAGAGAATCTTTGCTAATTAAACCTTAAATACATGCCTTAAGTATGTAACATATGGCTTCAAATTAACAACAGGGTGTAAGGGAGCTGACCGAGTAAGGCTTGGCAACAGGCCAAAAGGAAGTTGCCCTGCTAGCTGGCATATACTGATCTTTTGCGTTGGATAAGTGCAGCTAA